TGCAAAGAAATGGCACTTGAAATTCACAGATACCGTTTATGGGCAGAGAAACTAGGACACCATTACACATATTTCTTCAGTAATTTTCCAAGGGTGGAGATGTCCATCAAATGTGGTAATAGCTCCTTCCTTCCTTCCTTCCTTCCCTCCTCCCTTCCCTCCTTCCCTCCCTCCCTCCCTCCCTCCCTCCTTCCCAGAACACATTAACACCTCCCTTACAACTTAGTTTAAGGTAAAAACTATATCATATTAGGGCACTGCTATACAGTTCTGTTTTGATGGGGTCAAAGAAATAGTGACAAGTGAGAATCAGTTTCAGTAATTTGTGAAGTTTCATCTTGTGTGCAGAGGGCCACAAATGAGATAATTAAATATGTAAGACACGAAGGTAACACTTAGGCTCCTGCAGTGATTAGCTATTCTGAGGCAAAGAAATTCCACTTCTGCTCTAAGGTGCACAACTCTGCTCTTAAAAAATAGCAAAGTCTTTAGAATTACTGCAATAGAAATTTATGAGACTCATTCTCCATTCTCCTTTGATTTATCCCAAATACCCTATTGAGACTAGAATTAGAATTTTCTTCCCTATCTACCCAGATAAAAATATGAGCACTTAAGATATCAGATGAAACTAAACTATGAATTAGATATCCATGAGGTTAGTCACATACAGACATTTGAATAGCTTGACTCGGCATGGCTTGGAGGTTTACAGCCATCAATGTAAGACCTGACTCCATTAGAAAGCACTGCCTTTGAAAATATAGATTTGGCCTGTTACTTTTCTAAGTTAATTTGTGCTGAAGAGCCTTCTTTGAAACACAACTGTTTCCTGACCCTATTCTCAGCTTGGTTGAGAATTTCTGTCAAATTTCTCTTCATGGGTTTTTTGAGATGACGTTCTTGCTGGAGTGACGATGCCTGTTTTCTCTTTCATGTCTTTCCATCACACTGGAACATTCCAGGTTTCCCCCATCTGAAAGAATCCCACAGAAGGAGTTCCCTGTTGATGTCTTCCTTTGGGGTTGAATGGAAGCATGGGAAGCCAAGGAGTAAACCATTAAGGGTTGTACAAGAAAAGAAAAGACACTCACACACAGCCTTCTGAAAATTAAAGAAGGGCAAGAACATCACACTTCACCCAAGAACATTTCACTGACATTCTCTTCCCCTTTGAAAGAAATTTCAAAGCAAATTTTCTGTTATTACATGGAATGAGAACTGTAGGGAAAAAAAAGAAAGAAATTTTCAGCCTAATCTGTGCCACTGAAAGCATCCTTTGTATTTTTCCAGGAATAGAAGTACATGTATAAGTGGAAATCCCTACTCTGATTTCATAGAAATGCCTAGGAATTGACTGCAAACAATTCTTTGAGAATTTTGAAAACTTTGGCAGAAAACTGATCTATGAATATGGTACAGAAGACAAGAAATCCCTGCTTTCTAACCCTGTGATTAGATACAAATCAATGTTAAACTAAATCCCAACTGACTGCTATTGAACACAGATCCTAATGGCATAAGGCTGGACTAACAACATCATTGGTCAGACTGAAAACCCAGCCTGGTTTTGTGCTGAGTCCCAGGGAAAGCTTTGTATGTTTCTCTAGATGAAACAGCTCAAAGGTACCAGAGAATGCAGTTTGATGCAACTAAGTGTTGTCAGCTTTGTGCTTCCTGTTTTGTCGACAGGAAGTTGGGGACCTGCTGCGGCTGAGAAATAAGACGGTTGTAACTCACGGTACATTGGCAAGTTCTTCAGCTCCACGAGCTGCAGAACAGCTGAAGGTGTCCTTAGGAGCTGCAGATCACGAAAAGAAAAACAACAAAGGTAAGATATGATTCTGTGCAATGGTCAGCCAGTCCTAACTAAGGAGTCTCCTTTGGAGTGGGAGGCAGGAATTATTTTGCAAATTTCAGTTTTGCAACCCAGGCTAGTGAATGTTAGTCATGATTAACACTGCAGGTTGACAGGCAGTTTTCTGCATGCATGTGAATAAATCTGTCCAGGATTGCATTAAATAATCAGTAAATAAATGTCCTGGGATTATCTAACTGCACAACTGTATACACATGTACTTAGAAGTCTCTCAGCTGGAGGCACACCTGATCTTTGTCTGGGCTCAGAAGCTAAGGAGGGTTGGGTTTTGTTAGTCCTTGGACTGGAGATCACTAGGAATTTCCATGGTACACAAACTTGAAATTTGAAAAAAAAAAAAAAAAATCTGAAGAAGATAATGATTTTGCTCCTATATTGCTGCCATAAAAACTGCATAGACATTTCCATATAGCTAAACTTGAAAGAGATTTTCTCTTTCTTTTACTTACTTAGAAATAAATTTGATTCATTTCAATAGCATTCATTCATAGGGATAGGGCTGCAAGATGGCAGTTGTAGGGCTCCAGGACTTTCAGTGGGACATTTAGCCCAATTTTTGCACAGTGACTTAGGAGTAATTGAGTTTGGTGGACCTGGCTCTCAAGCATGCACAAACTGTAATCATGTAGGGCAATTTTGTATTCAGAGTGATCACACTGGTGAGAGCTGATATTTTATTAATCATATGATGCATCTTAGTATTTTCTGCAACTCAGGGAAGACAGTCTCATCAGCTACAAGGCCTGCGCTCAGAAGACAAGCGAGGGTGGATTATAGCCTTGAGACAACAACTGAAGATCCTTGGGTGAGAATTTCTGACTGCATCAAAAGCTTATTTAACCCCAGCATGGCTGAAGAAAGCTGCACCTTAAACGTGCATCATGGCATCAAAAACAAAAATGGCGATCCAGCCTTGCATAGCTCAGGAACAGTCCTGCAGCCCTCAGACACAGAGGACAGTGATCCCAAAGTTTCTTCTTTGTCAGAGGAAGGTGACTTTGTGAAGAAAGGTCCACCGGTAGCACCAAAACCAGCTTGGTTTCGTCAGAGCCTCAAGGGATTAAAGAAAGGAAATTCAGACAGGACATCTCTCAGAAACAGCAGCACTGACCATCAGAGCATGTCTGACAATGAAGTGGGCTCCATTTGCAAGGTCATCCGGACATCTCCTAGAGGATCATCAATAAAGCAAAGAATAAGCTCCTTTGAAAATTTGGGCACTCCTCAGTCTCCTGAGAAGGGAACTAGAAAGCTGAGTCCAAAGCTGTCAGTTCAAAAAAACCAAGCTTCTAGTAGGCAGGATTCCAAATCTGCTACATTTGATCCTAACCAAGCATCCACCAGTAACATTGACAATCAAGGTTCTGAAAGCACTCACCTTCCATCATCTCTAGAACAAAGTCAAGTCAAGTCGTCGTCTTCCTCTGCAGATCAATGTGCTCCGATTCCAAAGATGAGCAACAGCACCCCCACTGACTCATCTTTGAATTTTCCAGACTCACAAAATACAGAGTCCAACCCACAAGTCACAAAAGCACAGAGTCAACGAGCACGGAGCTTTCCACTCACTTCATCTCAGACATGTGAGATGCTGAAAACCAGCGCTGAGGGAGAAAAATATAGCAAAATCTATTCCATTAGCAACCACTTCTTGTCAGCTTTGATGAAATCCTTAGATGCCTTTCCTCAGTCTCCTCTGTGTTCCAGGAAGAGCCCTGGAAACTCACAGGATGGGATTTCTGAATCCTGCACAGAAGAAAACAGGATTGCTCTCTCACAAGCAAGAGAAGTTCAGTCTATGGACACTGGCTTTTCTCTTAAGTAAGGTCTTTCTGTTTGCAATTTTTAAATGTGTATTTCTTTCCAGTAAAAAGAAAAAAATCCCTTTGATTTAGCTTTTGCTTGGCAGTTTAAGTAAACTTTTGTACAAATTCACATATAATACTAAGCTATCCTGTGATTTTGTTTTTTGGCTTAGTATGATGCCCCCACTTACCTATGTTGGTGTAGTGTTATTGGTAAACTAGGCCCTTTAGTTACGTTCAACAAATCATGGTTTAAAAAAATCTGGCTTAGCATGCTGCACCTTTCAAAGTTTTATCCACAGTTTTACTCACAAGGGAAAGTACGAAGTCTTGTTCAGGCCATCCATGCTAAGGATAATGGGATGTTTCAGACCTTCTCTGAAAAGGTAGAATAATTTGAGAGCCCTCAACTTTGGAGGAAGAGGTTAGACTTCTAAATGCTCTCCACCTGTGGCCCTTGCCTTACTGATGTCTCCAATGTTACTAGAGATCCAAAAGAAGCATTCTGTGAACATCTCAGGAATTAGGAAAGGCTATGGGCCTTGCAGATTCTCATCCACCTTTCTGAAACTGAAAAAGAATTATTGTTCTTCTCTTCCTTGAACTCTACTAGTACAAGCCCCATAGCAATTTTAGAGAAGGCTATTTATTTTTTCATCTTCAGATCCTATTCTAGTAATAATTAGTGCAGTGTTGAAATCTGCATTGCAGTTTTTCAGAATGTTCCTCCACCCCACCCGGCAAAAGAGGTTTTCTGCTTTTCTGTTTTATTCTCTGGGTGCTTCCTTCATAGTTGGAAGTGGCAGGAGGTCCACTCCCAGTGTCATTTTCAGTGAACCTCTTTCTACTGCTGTACTTTGCAACCTCCCTAACTGCTTTGCTTCCCCAGATTGAAAAAGCTGCATGGGAAGAGTTAATGGAAGCAGGGGGAGCCAGGGAGGCTGAAAGCTGATGAGCAGATGGTTGAAAAAGGACGGACAGCATTTTTGCGCACCTTCTCAGACATCCTGTCCCTGGCAAAGTGTAGAAACACCACACTCCGTCCTTAAGAATTCCTCTGAAATTCTCCCAATTTGTGAAATTAATTTCTGAAGTGAGCTCTCTTTCATCAGTTTGAAGGAGAATTGTTCCTAGAAGAATAGCTGTGCGTTGTCCAGGAATGCTGAAGTGGAGAGTTTCTGCTAAGCCAACTGTGGCCATTTCAAAGATGACCCAGTTTTTGCCTTCCACTTCAACAGCAGCCAGCATTCTATGGCCGCAGAAGTTGTTTGTATCCTCTTTATGCTGATCTTGGGGTCACATACCAGGACCATATTTCTCAAGTTGCTTTTGCCTTTCCTTGGTGAAGTTTTGAGGTCCCAAAGAATGGTTTTGCTTTGATAATTTAGGTCATTGCTTTTGATTTCAGCCCTGCCCTCAACAGTGAATGAATTATTCAACAGCAATCCAATGAAAGAGACATTTGAATCTTCCAAATGTTCTCAGATTAGGTCTCTGGAGAAAAATGGTCAAAATAACCACAACACAATTAGGGACTTTCCTAATTTGGTTTGCCAGCTTTGAGATACAGGAATTGTTTGAACAACACTTCAAGGAAACCCTTTCTTTTGACACCGGTTTCTGTGTCGCAATTCAGGCCCTATGTCCTTCCATTGCACACACTCATTCATGGAAATAATAGTGTATTCTTCTCCCCTTAACCCCCAGCCTGTGCTTTTATTCCTTCTGCTTTTAAGTGCTCAACCATGCTGAGTCTCCATTTCTGGAGCAGGCTCTGAGAAAGCTTTTCTGCAAATGGGAGAACATGTGCCTTTGATGAGTGTAAGAATGATGAAGTTGGGCACCCAGTGGGCACAAGAGGCTGAGTTTCAGAGGAAGCAGAAGTATAGAATGGCTGGGTTCACTCTTCATGAGCACGTCCACTTTGAAGAGTCTGGGTCATTCTGAAAACAAGTCTGACATCCCACTGGGTTGGCTGTATTTGAGCGCTGAGCTGATTTATTACTGACTCCAGTGTGGGGTATTTGAAACCATGATCAAACTATTCTTTAAATTGCAGCAGTTCTGTGGAGTTTGTGGGCAGTCTGTTTTCCAGTTTGCAGGGACTCCACATCCTGGGCTTAGGCCTTTGAAAGGGAAAAGGGACTTGATAGCTTTTCGGTTCTTCATCATCACAAGTGCTGGGAAATAGAGAGGCGGAGACAAATGCACATGACATGGAGTAAGGATATGGAAGGATGATTATATTTCTGTGAAACATTTATTTTATTCCCTTTTTAGGGGAGTGAAAATAAGAGGCTGTAGCTAGGAGAAGGACCGTAATTTTTGTTTTCCCAGCATTCTGACATCAGCAGATTTGAAGACAATCATAAATCATTTTGAAACTCTGTTTGAGGAATTAGAGTGTGAAAGTGGTGCTGGTGTATCCAGTTAAGCCATTGCTGGTTTTAATTATGGTTTGCTTCATAGTTCATATGAAGTTCATATACCATGCTAGGGCAAGAGTGATAACCCAAACTCTGTAAGAACCTACAGAATCTAGATTTTGATCCTGAACGTCCATTCTCCAATCTTACCAGATCTTCTGACCTTCCCTTTTGTACTAAAAAAATGAATTAAGGAAAAAAGGGACTATTTGCCAAATGCTGGTGAGTTAGTTGTAATAGGAGTTTAGAATGTGGCTTGACTGTAACACGGAACAGAAATAGAAAATTAAAAGAAGTTTCAAAACAGAATACAGGGCACCCTACTGCTTCTTATTCAGCATTTCTTATTTCCTCTTTCCAAAACTGGCTAGCCTTTCTGAGTTGAGAGACTACGGAGCAAATCACCCAGACAAAGAGAAAAAGGAACATAAGAAGAAAGGCTGCTCCTCTCCAACCCTGGGTACCTCTGGGCAAGCTGTCATATCTCTTCTCACTCCTGAAGAACTGGAGAAGCTTCTGGAGGAGGTGAAATCTTTGGATGAAGCAACACTAAAGGCAAGTCTCTGACATCCTCAGCTTTTCCAATAGTCTCTCCTAACCTTGGAACATTTCACATAACAATCCTCATCAGAGGAACAGAAATAGAAAATTAAAAGAAGTTTCAAAACAGAATACAGGGCACCCTACTGCTTCTTATTCAGCATTTCTTATTTCCTCTTTCCAAAACTGCATAGCCAATAGTATTAGTATGATGGAATATCTGTCTGTCTGTCTGTCTGTCTGTCTGTCTGTCT